GAAGCATTTGGTTGCTCCGAGAAAATCCAGCGTTAAATTTTTTTTTCATCGAGATGTGTCCCAATTAGTTTCAAAATCACTGGACACGGTAGGCTCGTATGCACTGATCAAATGCAGCTATGAAATAAAATTATGGAAACCAAAGATACAGTGACCTCGTTACTACCAATAAATTATTATAACAAGAACATAAAAGCATAAAAATGTTCTCGTATAGCAGATATACAAGTGAAGTGTAAAACTGAAAATGAAAAAAAAAAATCCTATATGCACTTCGGATTAAATATCTTGGTTTAGAATCTAACCTGGATGACATAATATTAAGTATTGTAACCCTCTTTTTAATACTTTTCTTATTCTGCACATTATTATAAAAAGTGTACACATTCTTTAAGACAGCTGAACCATTTCAACACCATAGAACACGCACGAGACACTGTAGGTAACTTTTTACAGGGGTCTCAGCTCCAATCTTGAAGGCTTTGGACTTTTTCAAAGTTCAAAAGACAGTCACATAATATTGACCTCATACTCTGAAAATGAGGTGAAAAGTATTCTTCATTTTTATTTTCTCAACAGGAAAATCAGTGAATTTAGTTCGTTTTGTTAAAATGTGGGTGTTATAGTGTCCACATTTTAACAAAATTTTCTGATTTTTCCATGAAAAAATGATCAAGAACATCTTTACACACGAAATTCATCAAATTTGTTTGGTTTGTTCTAATCGAGGGACAGTATTACATAATTAAACCCAATTAAGTAGAACCTCTATAACTAAAAAATCTGCATAAGTCGTTAATTTTCAATTTTCTTTACTTTTTCAGCGAGATATCCTTATAAGGTAGGCTCCGAAAATCCAAAATTTATTAGCTACATGCTTTGACTAATGGTACATAGGCCCCCTCTATATTTTTACTCCTAAGATCCCTTCTTTTATACTGGTTAGTGGTTACATATCTAAAAAGTCACATTTTGTCGCTCCTTAAGTCCCTTTTTGCTGTCAGTTCGTGTCAGGTGACCTGAAAACTGATCATAAAGAGGCTTCAGGATACATTTCATTATAGAAATAGCTCTCTTTGCATTTCCAAGCAATATTGGTGACATTTCGTAGAACTTTTTACCATCTGCCTAAAAAAGTGATATGTATTTTTTCATACTTACACTTAGATTTTCATCAATAGCTATCAGAATAGAGGATTGATTTATTGATAAATTAAATGTTCTTTATTTTTGCTCCTTATCAGAGATAATCATCTACGATGGTCTAACAATAGAGTCGCCAGAAAGTCAGAATAGCTAAGATATAGTTTATAAATGCTCAAAATCAATGAGTAAATCTTTTGATGTACTTCTCCTGGGCCAAAATGTACTTTTTCATTTGCAGTTTTCAGCTTTCCAAGCACTCCTAAAAACATTTTTCCTTCAGGACCTCCATGCCCCCAAACACGCACTTTTTAGGACCGTTTTGGTAACATGCGGTTTTTTCCCAGCACCTCTTAGTTTTTGGGAACGGAAAGAAATCACATGGAGCCAGGATGGTCAACATGGGTCTCACTTTTGGACTTTCCTTCTCGACAAAAAATTCCAAAACCATTCCCTGTTGAAATATTTGAGAGCGAAAGTCATGTCAGAGGGAGCATACAACACATCTGCTAAATTTATTCTAACTCGACTAAAAAAGCTCAAATCAACTTGAAATTTGGATGGAAGCCGTAGATTTAGATCCCCTTTACAAATTCAGACCAAGTTTCAAGCCGCAGGATTATCACTCCAGCAGATATTTAACCAGTCCGGAGACTTTATTGTCAGACCTCGTACATATTTCTATTCGTGCCATTTTTCAAATATGATTTCAAAGCTCCTCGTTTTGATTGAAGATGTAAATAACTCACAGTTTAGAAAGGAAAAACCTCTACTGAATAAACTAACAAGTGTTGAGAGATATTATCAAAGCAATTGCCATGTTGAAGTATTTACCAAATTTTGTACCCTACTACGACCACATTCATGAAATTTCAGGTTGGAGACATGTACCATTGAATTTTCATGAGCCAAGGAAAATATGGTTGCGTCTTAATTGTATCACCTTGCAAAACACATAGTTAACTGATAGTTACCTGACTGATTTCCCATGTGAAATCAAACTGTAAGCCCTTAACTGATCGTTAACGATAGTTCTGTTCTTTTTGCCATAAATAAGGAAACACAGAGTACAAGTTGACACAATCAACACCAACCTGACCCTTTTTTTTTGCCTTTTTAATCTGGCTGGACCCTAGTGCCAAAATGGGTGCCTCGGCTCCTTTTTTAGACTTTAAGCTGTACATTTGAGGATGGTCTCTCAGCGTTTTCACTTATCAGATTGATCACCATTAGCACAGACGATATCTTTGTTCTCCGTGACAGCTCCCTACTCTTAGCCAACACCTATGAGCCAAATAAAGTGTTGTTACCAAAAAACCGACGGGGACGGGTAGGTTTGCAAGCTGCCACCCTGGCTATTTGCGAACATGTTTGACAAGTTTTTTAGGATACTCCTGTAGCAGGGTTTAAAAGTGTTGACACAATGTGGACTCCAAACAAAAACTCGTAGACTGCGTTGAACCAGACAAATAACATGGTGTCAAATTGGTGTCAATGGATCAGCTGGAGATTGTTTTTAAGGTAAAAAGAACAGAGCTTCCATATCAAACATTTGGACCTGAGTTACGAAGCTCAGTACGTACGAGTATAAACCTT